ACACACACACATATACACACACACACATATACACACACAGACATACAAACCTATGGTTCGAATAAGTACAAATAGGAAAAAAAACAAAAATGTATATGAAATGAAATCCTTGTACTTATGAATATTTGTTCTTAATCTTTTGCATACTTAAAAGCTATATACTAAATATGCTAATGCTAATTTTAATTCCTATGCAAAACATTTTCTTTTAATCAATCAAGTCCATAATATCTAAGGAAACTCACAATGATAATTAAGGAAACCGTATTTTGCAAATCGCAGAACAAAATCGATCAACGCTAAAAAACATAACAACCGGAATCACTCATCCGGAAATTAGAACGATCATAACAATACCGATTAAATTTTAATCCCGATCATCATGCAACATGGATGAAATAGTCGTTTCCCATCGAGACTAACTCATTCATTTCGAGAATATCAGGAAAAATTGGAACAAAAAGGAATAAAAATGATAAGGAGAAATTTAGCATCCATCAATAATCGTCTAAACAAAAAAAAAAAAAAAGAATTAAATATTCTCGAGGGAAAAAAAAGAGTTCAGTGAAATCTTCAAAGTAGAAAACGCATTTAATACGTTGAAATTTTGAGAGTTAAACATCGAAAATTTGAGAGATTACGTTTGATTTTGGATGTACGAGGGTTATATTAGAAATCTGAGGAAAATATCGATCGAATATTTATTAAACAAAGAAATAATAGCATACTTAACATATTGGAACATCAAAGAAAAAGAGTGCTTAGGAAATCAAATAACTGTCGAAATAAATGTACCCTTCCTTTTTTTTTTGTTGTGATGATTGAAGAATTAGAAGAAAAATTTATGAATGAAAGATAAGTGGAATAAGGAAGACAATGAAAACAAGTACTGAGTGAATATGGTATAAGAAAATATTAACAGATATCAGAGATATATCAGCAGCAGATATCAAAATATAATACAGGAGAAATAGTAACAAATATTAAGCATGCTACAAGAAAATATGAATAGATAATCAGATATAATATACAAAGGAGGTAACATCAGATATTAGATATAGTAATAAGTAAATAGCAGTATTGAATATGGCATGAGGAAATATTAACAGATATCAGAGATATTAAAATATGATACAGGAAAATATCAAGTATGATACAAGCAGATCAGTCAGGTATGGATTTTGATACAAGAAAGTAACAATATGAATGTCATTCAAATTTAGCATATTCCGGTTCTTTCGGTTTCATAATTACAAAAAAACAATTGGCTAATTTATTCATAATCATAATTTTACGTGAGATTGAAATAACAACGATTTAAGAGGGCACCGATTTTCGCAAAAGATTAAAACATCAATGATTTAAGCAAGCACCGATAAAATGATTTTTAAAAAGAGCAGCAGAAATTGAGATAATGTTTAGAATGATCATATAAATTTTAAACTATCGAAATAATGACAATACTTAAAATATTTTGGTCTGTTCTTCATTCATTTAATTGTTATAAAAAATGATTTATAACAACTGAATGGGATAAAAAACAGTTCAACAAGTTTAAAATTATGCGAAACAGACGATGGACAACTTTTGAAGGCAATTTTCTAAATTTCAAACCATATGAAAAAAAAGTCGAAGCTAGTGAACAGCAATCATTGCTACCAATTTTGTTGATGATTCAAGAAATTGACATAAGCACGAATCAATTCTTTGAAGGTTTAGGAAAATTAGGAGTTTAAAAGATTAATTTGAGATTTAAGACTTAAAGAAATTGGAAGATTGAAATTTAAAAAAAAAAAAAAAAAAACCGTTCACTACCTTTACCAGTTGCCAAGATATGCAAGTTTTATTTCGAAAATCATTCATAGTTGTAATGAAACTTGTACATATTCATCCAGATAAAATTATATTTACAAATTCAACAGTAATGCAAAACCATATTCCAAATCAGCTTCAGTTAATAATTTTTTCAGTTCTCGCAAATATTTTGCAGGTGGAAATTGAATTTCACGAAATTTTCCGAGTCGAAGAAATGATGGATCGGTTTGCTCTTCGCAATAGCGTAACACAATACGTTGCCAATTCACGGAACGAATTTGTTCCCAAAATTTATCACAATCAGTCCGTAAACCCTCCACAATAATAACACCCGGTTTTCCGGGACAAAAAAATCCATCTAACCGATACAATTCTGCTGTATTTTTGATCATACGTCTCTTCATTTTGTTGTGAGTATGATGAGAATAGATCCAAAATCGTGCATATTTTGTATTGTTTGCTGATTTTATATCATCTACCATTTGCATCTTCTGTTTCCCATTCTTTTCCTATAAATGTTATTCATTTTGAATCAAAAGATAATTTTAAATAAATTGACTTTGAGTATGAATTGATTTTTATCTAATAAATGCTATTTGAAATTACATTAAAATTCTCGACTTTTAATCTTAAAAATTTGACGAAAAAAAATTATCGGAAAAATTCAGAAATGGAAAAGACTCAAGTAAGAATGTTCAATGAAGTAATTTTTGGAAAAAAATCAAAAATAACTATTATAATACATTTAATTAAATTGTTTGTCCTGTTATTATTTTGTGTAGCCAATAGATGACAATGCGAGTAAGTAACATAATATTATAATTGACATTTTAGAAGAGAAAATAGGCCTAGAAGCTATTGTGTTCAGATATTACAAGGCTTTAAACAAGCAAAACATTAAATAAAACTTTAAAGTGACCGATTCACCAATGCTATGTTTGGTAAGTTGTGAAAATTAAATATAGAAAAAGGTTTAGACTGCGATAATATGTGAAATTGATACGATGGAACATATATTCCGTAATCGGTTATAATTTAATTAATTCAACATTTGGAAAAAAAATTTATGATGCATAAGATATGATAATTTTATTAAAATTATCATTTGAAACTGAACCTTGAAACGAGTGATATTATCATTGATCCACTGCATAATAGCCAATGTAAGAGGTACACCGAAAGCTTCCTGATCAATGAAACATCGAAGTTCATGATTGAACAAATCACAATTGATCAATGAACAACGAACAAACGCGGAAGGTTTCAGGATGATAGGATATTCACTACTCAAATGTACTACAACCTCATAATTGATATCATCAACTTGCTAAAATATGAAATTACTTTTAATTTAAATTTAAACATTTATAAGGATAAATTTTATCTTAATTCACGATCAAGAGAAGGAAAAAAGAGAAACTGAATGTTTCGCCATCCTCACGAAATATTGAATATCTTGTACCTGATGCAATATTAGCTGTGTGACTTGGCCATTTTCTGCTGGATATTGAGGCTCATTTATTTCTAATTCTTCCATTGTATACATTGCTTTCAGGAAGCCTAATTCATCTAACAACAATCGTTTGCATGCTTCATTCTGATCATCCATTTGTAACAGAAGAAAGCAAAAAATTTTTATCAGAACTGATTGCTTCTCGTAGTTTCAACAATTTCTTCTAATTTTTAATAACTTCCACCTATATAGTTTACATGTACTTTACTGAAAAAACTTCACCTTTTATTATGTTTCACTCAATTCAAAAAAAAAAAAAAACTAATTCGTACAAAATTTCATCGATCTTTTTTGTCTCGCAACGATCAATAGCTTCGTGGGGATTTAAAATTATCTGATAGTAAAATGGTATGTGAAATATGCATTTAAACATTGAAAAGTAATCAGAAATTTGTACATTTCAATTTTATTTGCGAAATTTTAATTAATTTTCTCTTAATTATTTTTAATTAATTTTCGTTATACTAGTTAAAAAATTTACTGCATTAGGAGATGGCGAAAATGCATGAAATATGAATTGGATAATGGATAGGTTTACGATTAATCTAATCGGCAATTAATTTTTCTAGTAGAAAATGAAATTTAATTATACTGTAGCTCGCTATAGCAAAGTAATCAAACAATAATGAAAAGGCTATCAGCTTACTGAAGAAATTAACTTATCAGCAAACAAAACTTGTAACAAATAATAATATAATAAAATTAAATGTGGAATAAATGTAAAGCAAAGGAATGAACAAATTGAGATATTTGTTAAAAATCATCAGGAAAATAACTACAATGTTGTAAATAGCAATAAGGATTCTCTGTAGGGAAGAAGAGAAATTGACAATTTATAACCTAATTATAATACGGTTGCATTGAGAAAATAATAAATGCATGAATATGCATGAGTTAAAACATTTTAATTTAAATAAGCACCTAAAATGATAGGAAAAAAATATGCGTGAACATAGCGTTAAAAGCTTATCAAAATTGACGGAATCTATGTCGCCAGTTAAGGTCACACTTCCTTTCGAAAATCATGAAATAACATCCAAATCCAGGGAAAACTTCTGGTTAACCGTTGAAAAAAACATTTCGAAGCGATTAATTCAAATACGGAAACATGAATCAAACTTACCACAAAAAACAAACATAACAGAAAGTTAATATTTTGAAAAAAAAAAACTACAAATTTTTGAGAAAAGTTTTTAGAATCAAATCAAATGGTTGGCAGTAATTTATAGCTTAATTCCTTTTTTGATCTTGAAAATTTCCAAGAATGCTACAAATCTTTTCGTTTCATTGAGTAAAATGTTTTTGAAGAAAAAGAACCTTTTACTTCGTTGTTGCTTTAACGTAGATTTTTCTAAGTTCATTTTTCAATTTTTGAAATAATTTTTGCTTTAGTAATTTTTCTTACCTTGTTTTTTTTCTATTTTTTACTTTCTCTTACTGAATTTGACTTGTTGTTAAATGTTTATTAAAAATTTAGATTGTTTTTTTAAAGTTGTCTTCTGCTCTATGATGAATATATACATTTTGTTTGCCATGTTTAAGGGACATAAGTTGTAATACTCAGAGAATTTGGAAGAATAACAAAAACAGTAATATACTTTGAAATTCAAAACTTCTCTAACAAAAAATTTAAATTGGCCTTAAAGAGACATTTTACCTCCTTACAAGTTGTTCCGGAACATCAGATCTAATAAGTGACACGATAAATGGAATAATGGCAATTATAAGCAGCAAATTCAAAGTCATGGAAGCAATAAAAACGTTACGCCATATGTCATAACGATATTCACAGGGTAACGGACAAGTGAAACGTGGTATTTCTGCTTCGATCTTTTCAGTTCCTTTCTCTACGTTGTCTATCAGAACATCAATTACAGTAGCAATCTGCAATAGTTTTTAGCATGTACTGTCAGTTCAAAACTTTGACAAATTAGATTTTTTTTTTTAAATCATACACACATACTCAACATATAGGGTAGCTTTTTTTTCTTTTCGAATATATGTTATCGAGAGTATCTAATTATAAAAAGAAGTCTGCTATAGATAAATTAAAATATTCTCACTCATTCATTTATTAGTTAAGATGTCGAGTAATTCCGGAGAATCATAAACAAGTTACAAGCATAATATTCAGTTCATTTGACATGGAAATGATATAAAAATGGACGAAATTTTTTGCTATTACCATTTTCTTCCGGCCATAAAAATGATCGCAAAAATCTTTAAGCGCAAAAGACAAGATGGCTATCATGCTTCTTTTAACCTTTAAAAGTATAAAAGAAAAAAAAATGCAAACTTACTGTTTCTTCATCGATTACATCTTCCGGTTTTAATTGTGCAGAAAGTTTAGCGATTATTTCTTCCTTCGTTTGTGTATAATTACGATGTTCATATTTACTATGCCATTTATACCACTGATCTGCAACAACAATTGATTCCTTTTACGCAAAATGTTTCGCATTTCATGCAAAAGTAATAGAAACATGCACAAGCCTCGAACCAAATACAATTAAGAGGGTATTACCTCAGTCTTTCCAGCTCTCTCTTATATTACTCTTAGTTTGCTTAGGCCTCTTCTTACCCTTAAAAAGCATTTCGTATAAAATGTTGCAAAAATTATGAGAATTATAACCAATGTGCATTTGAACCGCAACAAAATGCCTCATTTGTGCCAGCAGAAGACGTTCATAAAATTCCAATGATCCACTCAAGCACGTCAAATCACTGTCGTGAGGAGAACAATGACTCCTAAGCAATAAATATTAGAAAGCTTTTGCTAAGAAAAATTTGAATAAATTAAAACAAACAGACAAAAATGTTTCTCCACTCAGTGATTTTACTAAATAATGCTTTCTTAATTTTAATTTCAACAAATCTCGCCTTTGTATCTTTAGATACGCAAGCAGTAATTGATCAAATCGTGAAATAAAGCTCAGCATTGAAATCTTTCTAAATTAAAAAGTCATCATTATGATTAATGAGGGAAATAAACAAAAAAAACACACTTACGAGCAACCCTTTACAGTTGAATTATCACCCGTTTCGAAAGTTTGTGTGTACACATAAGCCAAGCATAACGTTAACAAAGCAGATAACTTCAACATTTGATCTCTATGTAACTATATGAAAGCGCAAAATGAAAGAAATTCCAAGTGCCTGAAACAAGATTATAATCCCAAGTTAACATCCGAACATAAAAGTAGACTGAATACATGACTCGAGTAATAAAACTCGGTCTAACAACACTTCGAGAAAAATATCATTGGTGAATCAACCATAAATCACTTAGATCAACTCTGAAAATTTTAAGAAATGAATTCTCGTTCCATTTTATAACAAAAATAGTGCTTTTAAGGAGTCAAAATTTCTGTAACAGTACCTCCTGCAATATCAGAACTGCATTCTTCAATCCAAAACCGTATATGAAAACAAAAAAAAAAACTTGCTTTTTATTCTAATATGATATAACTTACGCAAATAGGTGAAATATTGTTCGTAAAACAATGTATAACTTTGAAAAATAAAAAATCTATGACTTAGCTGGTCATTTATGCTAATTCTACTTTTCTCTTTCTTAATTTAAAAGTTGCAAGCACTACAATGTAAAGTTGGAAAATATTCACAAAAACATCCATAGTTCGTGATGAGACGAAAATAAATTAATCATTTCTGGAACGCCTGCACTATAACATATCATTTTTTTAAATGATATTGCAATGTTCCAATAATGAATACATGAAAGAAGTAATCAAAACAAAAAAAAAAATTAAGATGACTAATAGTTTACTTAAATAGTTGATTAAAGCAATCAAAACAAAGCGTACTTAAACGAATTGATTAAATTTACAAAAACAATAATCGCATGTATATAATAAAAAGTGATTTTTGGATTTTCAATTTTAAAAAAAGGCATTTTATTGATACTGACTAAAATCTGTAAAATGCCAATCTTTCTTCAAAACTGGAAGCCTTAACATCATTTTTAATCGGTAACTTTAGCAATACTTAGATAAACAAATAATATGAAAAGAAAAGGATGATTTACAAAACCAGTGATATAAATTAAGATCAAAAAAATAGTTTAAATCTTTCATTCATATGAAAAGCACTGAAGTGTACAATTTAACTATGATCTGTAATATTAATGAGGATCAATATGAAAGTAGCAGATAGTAGAAAAAAATCTAGTAAAGGTAGTAGGAAAAGATAAAAATAGGTAGCGAAAAATTAGTGGTAAAAAATCCTACTACATATTGAGCGTTGTTCTAATAGATGAACATGAATATAAAAAGTAAACATGCAATAACTGAAAAAATATTGAATCAAAAAAAAAAAAATAACTGATTGGAAGTAATGAAAAATAACATTGATTGTTTTCAGGCCCAATAATTTTGACAGCAATAGTGGCAATATTAGCGTATCAGTGTTTGTCGAATTTATACAGGGACATGTGAGAAAAGATAAGACACTGATTCTTGATAATGATAGAGCATTAATGCTTGTAGAATTTACATGGGAACATGTGAGAAAAGATAGGACACTGATTCGCCATTATGAGTACGTCGAATTGCTTCAGCCAGAATCATGGAAATGTCGATACACTGCAAAACATAATGGTCATTAATAATGATAATCTAACTACAACTACATTAATAGTGATTCAATTACATTCAAATAAGAATAATCATTAAGATTCTTCAAATACTAACAGACAGCATTGGATGTTTATTATGAGAACAAATCTGATTCTTATAGCAAACTATCATGATTGATCGTTACTCACATAATGATCAGGTACAATTGTTTTTTGTCCATTTATTCATATTAACTTAATGGGATCGCAACACCTATCTACAACTTTAGACAGTTGGTTATCTAGCAAGTAACTTATCAGTCTTGTAAATGCGCGAAAAATTATTGCAATCATTCTATGCTTAATGCTTTGGACTAAATCATAGACAGTGAAATATCAAACAAGAAATCTTGACAAATAATAAGGAAGCAATTGTCAAAAGTTGAAGTACCTGAATTTTAGAACATTTTTTCATGTTCTGTTCTTGCGGTATTGTATTTGTAACAACCACTGCCTCAAACACTGAATTGTTCAGCCTTTGTATAGCAGGCCCTGAGAAAATCCCGTGCACGCAATATGCATATACGGCACTTGCTCCTGCTTCAACCAGTCTAAAGATAATAAATGGGTCATAGCTATTAACAAATTTAGAATAGTTGGACTGGGAAAAATGTAGAAAAAATCGTAAATGTATTTTTCTTCGCTTTTATTAAATTTATTAATTAAATAATTTTATTAAATTGCTAACAGTCAAATCTAATTATATACACACTCGCCCGTTACGATGAAACAAAAGAATGTAGGATCGCGACATCGATAAAGCATTAAGCGAAGTAGTTCTCACTAAAAAAAATTGAAACTCATAATAATCAAGAAAACTTTTTTACGCAACTTCAGCTGCGGCACCTTACAAAAAAACACCGCTCAGATGAACTAGAAAGATGAGTATAAAGTACTAAAGAATCCTAAGTACTGACATATTCTCAAAAACTCATAAGATAATACTCTCTGCTAGATAATTAAAACAACAAGATCAGAACCATCAAAAGTAAAAAAATAACTAAATCAAATGAAAGCAAAACGACATTGGTCATTTAATACCAAATGATTGAATTTGTCACAATTATTTGTACTTACTTTTCAGCAGCAAGACAGATCGTTCCACATGTATCTGCCATATCGTCAACTAATAAAGCAATCTAAAAACGGATTAAAGGAAAATTTTAACCAAATTGAATATTCAGTATATGTACTGCTTCTGTTCCATTTACAAATTTAAATCTGTTGTAAAAACGAATAGTTCAACAAAAGCTTACTCTGTCACGAACGTTACCAACAAGTGTCATCTTTTCCACTTCATTGGCTCTTTTTCGTTCCTTGTGAATCAATGCAAAATCAACATTTAAGCGATCAGCAATTGAAGTTACTCTACAAATTAATGCCAATAAAATAATGTAGTTAGCGTAAATAAAGCACTAAATATAATTCCAATTTGGTGGCAAAATATAAGGAAATAACAAAGTTGGATATTTATATCTATTTTTGAAAGACGAAACCATGCAAACGAATGATACTTTACGAATGAATGAAATTTGTGCAAAGAACTCTTTAACTAATCGATCCAATCATATATAATACCGTTTCGCACCACCAGCATCTGGTGATACAATGACTGCTTCCTGCCAATTTGGTATTGTCTCTTTAATATATTTTAGGATTGCTGGTTCTGCATATAGATTATCTACGGGAATATCGAAAAAGCCCTGAAAAACTTTTACAACAATCATTATTCAAAACCTTTATAATTACGGCAACAAATTTCAAAAAGGCTTACCTTTAGTTCAACTTCATCACTTGCCATATAAATATAAATACATAAGACTATCAGAACTAACCTGTATTTGAGAAGCATGTAAGTCCATTGTAATAATATGATCTGCTCCTGCTACGGATAGCATATTTGCAACAAGTTTCGCACTAATTGGCGCACGTGATTTATCCTAATCAAGAAATTAAAATCTAACAGATGCATAATAGAAAAAAAAACGTGGGATATGAAAAAATCAGTAAAATCGAACCGTTCGAAAATTTTCAGAATCATCCCTTAATCAACAACCAATCTCCTAATTACTACTTCACAGTATACTTTCTACTTCAAAGTACACTTTTCCATAGTTACTTTTGCAACTATATGCAGTACACGATCACATTATGACACAAGTTCATATAAATTCTAAATAAACAATAAAATAATAAATTTAAAAGTAATTTTTACAGATAATTTAATATACTCACCTTTTTATCTTGACGAGCATAAGGAAAGCATGGAATAATAGCAGTTACGCGAGATGATGAAGCAATCTTACAAGCATTTATCATTATCAGAAGTTCCATCAAATGGTCATTTATTTCACCACATGCACTCTGAATTATATAAACATCTTCTCCACGAACACTTTCACCTATTTCAACATTCGTCTCCTGAAGCAAAAAATGTAAGCGCGAGCACATCGACGAGGAACTTCATGCAGTCACTGATATGAAAATATCTTCCAGTAGCAGAAATTATATTTCCAAAAGAAATGAACTTTCCAAAAATGATAATTAATAAAGCATAATCCATTTTGCCTGCTAAATGTAAAGCACATTTGCTATCTGTTTTAAGACATGTGAGTAAATACAATAAAATAATGAATAAGGAACACATAAATTGCAAAACCTGTATTTTATCTTAATTAGACATTAATAAATGTATATTACAGGAGATGAAGATAAGCTTTTTCCCACTAATTTGCAGGCTAATATACACTAACAAGAGAAGGTATTGTTCCGAAAATCACCTTATTACTGAATTTTTTAAGTGATGCTTTAGCAACATCCAACTGCAATCGCTCACAAATCCTCTCCGATAAATCTCGATGTGAGGAACCAGAGAACACCTGAAATATATTGGTTATAAGAAATTGTCAAGTACAGAAATATCAACTTAGTAGCTATTACTACTTAAATGTCAATCACGTATGTAACTGCAAAAAATATGTGTAAGTGCATGAGGACCGCACGCAAATACACGTATTTCACGCAAAGGAATAGTAAGAAAAAATTAATGAAAAGAAAGATAACACCTTAATATTTGGCATTCTTTTTGCCTTCGATAGCGGTTGCCGTAGCTGATGTTCAGTTAAGCAATGATCGCTATCTTTTTCAATGGTTGCAGAGTTTTTCTAAAATTAGACGAAAATTTTTGATATATTTTTCGAGTGCATATTTTGAATCGAAATCATAAAAAAAAAGTTCGGAATAGCAATACTAGTTGGTCAAAAAACTGAAAAAAAAAAGCCTCCAGATGGGTTAAAATTAATCAATGTAACATGAAATTAAACTGTACATAATCTTAAGTGTCTTAAAAATTTCTGATTAAAAATTTAGCGCACAATAAAATTATAACCAGAAAAAACAATCTTTGTATTTTAAATTTTAATCTTTTTCTCAAAGCATCAAAATAAATAATCAATTCTAAGCAAATTATTTTAGTGAAATAATTTTACACTCCCACAAGAATGAATGCAGAAACACGAGTAAAAATTGAAAATCATTACTAGTCATTAAAAACGAAAGCCTTCGCAATAAATTCAACACTGTAATCGAATTTTAAATTAATTCAACTAACTGTAATCATTAAGAATTCCCGAGATTTCCCGGAATTCCATTCCTACTTCATCCATCCGTACATCCCACAAACAGAGCCTTTGCTGCCTATTTTGAAAGAAAATTTGTTTTGTTAACGCTATTTCGTTAAACGGTGGCTAAAAATTTACAGTTACTACAGTACCACATTTGGACGTAATGCAATTTTTTTGTATACGTTAAACGAGAATGCCATCGATTTTTCCAATTTCCTTTTTTTTTTTTTTCTTTTCTGGATAGAAAAAATTTGTTCTTGGAATAATTTAATTATTAATTTAATTACGAATAATTTAATAACTTTGTGGAATTTCTCAAAAAAGAAAAAGAGCAATAGTAATATTCGTTGAAATGTTTTGTTTAAAAAAAAAAAAAAAACAGACAGAAAAATAATTAAATTATTACTTGAAATACTGCTATAATTGCTATAAGTAATACAGTATTTGTGTAAGTTATTCGAATAATAAAATTGAAGTGAAAGAAGATGATTTATTTGATATTTGCACAAATTTATGTAAATCTATCGAGCAGCAAATAAATTTTTCTTTATTTGCTATTTTTATATATTATTATACAAATATCAATTACATTTTTTTTCCAATATCAATTAGATTTGGTGCAAATATTGTTTTGTTAGGAAATATGAGAGGGGATTGATCTCTCTCCCTCTCTCTCTCTCTCTCTCTCTCTCTCTCT